CTTGATTGCACGCTGTAATTCCCTGAGGGGCTTTAAAATATATTGATGCCTAATTCCACCTTCAGAGATTCTGATTTAATTGGTTTGGACTGGTTGTCCCTCTTGTTATATTAGCAGTCTATGATGATTATTGCTGAGATCCATTAATTCATTAGGGGCTGTAGGTGGTAATCTTGTTCACATCTCTGGGCCTGTATTTTTTTATATACAAAATGAAGGGGTTAGAGGACATTATCTGTAAACATCTTTCCAACTGGTCATATGGGATATGCTCTCATTTAGGGATCTGTAGAAAGTACTTGCAGTTCTTCGTGGTGATTTACTGGTATATGTGTATGTTTGCATTGTGATACCTAAGCACCAAAGGCCCTAAATACCTCCAAATACCATCACATTGGGGATTCAATTTTAACATATAAATTTGGGAGGGGAGGCATAAACATTCAGTCTATAGCAACATAGTACATTGGGAACATAAGCAAATAGTAGCAAGTAGCTCTTCGAAGCAGCTAGGCATAAAATATGAAAAGGACTTTTGATGATACAGAAGCCTTCTTATGCTCTCTTTGTACATATGGTTTGTAGCATTTTCTACAATATCCCTTTAAGTATGAGGACTATGATATGTACTCTAGTAAGATAAATCTTCCACTAATAAGGTTATAATTTTGTTTTATTAGTTTTGAATTAGTTCAGTTTCCAATAATATTTTTTGTTTTTTTTCAGATGAATAAACAATAAACTCAGGCAGCTATTTACATGTATGGTGTACTTGAAAAAAATTTTTAGACCACAGAAGCCAAAGTTCTTCACTCTATCATTAAATAGATAATATAGCTGAGTTGAACAAACCCATTTAGGGGTGCATTTCTTCCCAAGGAAAACTACAAAATTATTTGACTTCACTGTCCCCACACAGTTAGACATTGGAGATCAGATAAAATGTTATTGCACTTATCATTGTGAACTACAAAGCCTTAAAAAAATCAAATTACCCATTTAAATAACAAAAACAAAAAAGTGCTTTTTGGGGCAAATAACTTGTTTTGTAAAAAAGGTTATTGCATGTAACACAGCTGGTTTTAAATCTCAGCTGCATAGCTTACTATCAATTGAGAAAATCCACATCCACTTCACATATATTAATTATTAACTAATATAATAAGTATAACAAGTTTATAAGTGTAAAACGCCTGGCAAATAGCAAATGCTCCCTAAGTGTTAGTATTTATCATTATAGGCATGGTGTGTGTGGCTATTGTTGTTGCAAATATTACTAAACATTACTTATGAGTCTTTTGGTTAAATATTTTTAAGAATATTAAGTCTTGTTTTTAAAAAGTCCTTTTTTCTTTTTTTTTTTATCTTGTCAGTTATGCTGCAAAGTGGACTACATATCTCTATAATGTGAGAACACTGTAGTTCTTGTTAATTTTTTTATTGTTAGTTTCACCATACAAGGTTTTTGGTATCAAGCAGTATTTGATTGATGGAATAATTCTAAATTGATGGATAGTGCAAAGGAAGTGAAAATGAACTTTGTGATCCCAGAAATCAGAATCTGGGAGTGGGCATAGGTAAGTAGGTGGTAAGCATGAAACTTGACAGGAAAACCTTTGTCAGTGAGGACTCAGGGAACTGGAGCTTTATGTTCCAGAATTCTAGGGGGTGCCCTCCTGTATGATACTGGGTCTCACTAGCAATATCTTCTTTGCATGGAGTTGTGGTGCTGAGATTCTGAGCATAAACCTCTCATCTCAGAATAAGTTGATATTTGGGCTATAAAAATGAGGAGGCTGGGAGAACAAGTCTTAGAAGGAAGCAGACCATCTTGTACATATAGTAAAGAATCAGCAATATAATCATTATGACCTAACTCACAGAGATGAATGATGGATTTCTTTATTTCACTGAATGGTAATATTAGGAAAGTTTATCTGAGTGACAGCAGCTGTTCTGGACATCCCCTTTCTCTTTTTATTCACCACCACCCTCGAGAAGTGATTTGGCCTGGGTTGAAGAGTTCCTACACTGTCTACACCATCTTGTTTCTCAAGGATGTCTTTAGTTTTCGTAAATGAAAAAGCACTTGGTTTCCATTTCCTTTCTGAGAACTGCTAGTTAGTAGGGAAGGAAGTAGATATTTGGCCCAAGTTCTGTCCTATGGGGGGAGGGGAGTGCTAGGCTGTTCCCCTGAGCACCAGCTTCTGCTTTTGTGAGGCTTGGTTTCCTAAGTGTTTGATTCTTTTTCATAAATGTCAGTAAAATTGGTCTGAGCAACCCTACCTAATCCCCTTTCTGGGAACAAATAGCTGAGGATGCAAGGAATGACTAACTCTCTTTGCCCAAACTCTTGGGCACAACTTTGCTCAACATTCTTAATTCATTTCCTGTCTACTCTTAATCTTTTAAAGATCTTGTCAAACCTTTCTTTTTAAAAAAAGTTCTGATTTAAATATTGCTTCTGTGAGAATACTCTTGCCAGTGTCGTTGAATATAACTCTGTGGAAAATCCAGCTGAGGCATCAAGTCCTGTCAGGTACACATGGTAGAATTAGAGCTTCTGATTCAGATTGCGAGTCTTTGGAAGCTCTGAAGTTGGATGTGGTTCATTAACTGACATGTTTCGTTGTTTTATTTAATGTTGGAATCATAGTTTACGGTTATTTTACACCACTTTCCAGCATTAAAACAGTATCTTTGGCACTGGGCTTTATTAGTTCATGAAATAGAAGCTTCTGGTTCCTTAATATTGTCTTGACTCTCCTGCTAATGTGACTTTGAAACTCTTTTCTCAGGCATTAAAACTGTACATCTATGCCAATTGTTTGCAGATGTTTGGGAAGTGGTGGTTGATCTAAAAATATTCAGAAAAAAATCAAGAAAAAAAATTACGGCTTCTGCCATGCAAATTCTCTGATACTCTTCTCAACATTTCTGTTAGTAACACAAATAGTTAATTAGATGATTCTTTAAAGCCCTACAAGATATATCTTACTGCTAATACTTTATTTCTTCAGTTTGCTTTTGACTTTTATAGTTTCACCACTGCAATTGAAGCCTAAAAATCACCTTTAGATTGGAGGGCTCTGGGGTCAAGATAGCCTATATTCAAAACCCAGTCTGACTATTCTCTTTCTTTCTTTCTTTTTAAAATTTTTTTGACAGGAAGTAAGATTCATTGGTGGGTGTAAAGTGGGGGCCAGTTTGACCATTCTCTAGCTCTGTGGTCTCTGGTGAGTTTCATTATCTGTAAAATGGGGATAAAAATCAGCAGTAAACATAGGATGGATGAAAGGACTAAACAACCACAGTTTAAGGTATTATTGTTTTTCTTTTCTTTAAATAAAAAATAGGTGAGGGAGAAATATTTATTCAGTATCTATTACTTGCTAGACAATAGTTGAATAATTTATTTATAGCCTATGTAATCCTCTAAGAAAGACATTCTTCTATTTTCCAGATGATTAAATGAAACTAGAAATCTTAATCAAATGTCTAAAGGTCCCACAGCTGGTAAACAGTCTGAGCCCAGGTTTGTTTCTAAAGCCACACCTTTTTTACTACATGACATAAAGGAAACTTTATCTCTCCCTCCCCTCCCAGGTTATACGGTTTCAGGGTTTCCTACAGCTGTTATATGATTTTTTTGATATATAAAAACAAGTTCATGACTTGATAGCTCATAATAAGGCATGAAGGAAACTTAAATGCATGTTACTATTACTAAGTGAAGGAAGTCAGTCTGAAGAGGCTACATACTGTATGATTCCAACTACATGACATTCTGAAAAAAGTCAAAACTATGAAGGCAATAAAAAGATCAATGGTTGCGAGGGGTAGGGGAGAGGAAAGGACTAGGTGGCACACACATTTTTAGGGCAGTGTAACTACTCTGTACCTATAGTGGTGGATATGTCATTCATTATACATTCGTACCAGCGCCTCTCATCCACAACACTGAGAGCGAACCCTACGGTAAACCGTGGCCTTCGGGGGGCGGTGTTAGTGTAGGCTCCGCGACGGCAACAAGCGCACCAGTCTCCCGGGGACACGGGCGCGGGGGTCGGAGTGTGCAGGAAATCTCTGTCCCTGCCTCTAAATTTTACCGCGAACCTAAAACTGCTCTCAAAAATAGCGTATTAAAAAAAAAAAGCATAGAGAAGAAAAGTGAATGGGTGTAACCCGAGAGAGGAGGGATGTTAAATAAGTTTATAAAGGCCTTGTGTACCCGCCGAATTACTACAGAGTGAGGAGTGCACGACCCGGTGAGGAGAGCCGCGCCGAGGTCCCGCTTGCTCACAGGTTGCTGGGTGACCGGCGCACCTTCCGGATCTCCGTTTTAAGGTGATTACAATGAGGCGGTTCAGCTGACCTCCAAGTTCCCTCTGGCCCTGAGACTGCAGAGCGGCCGCTAGGGGCCCGTCCCTCCCCGTGCTCTCCATCAGCCCCGGCCGGCCACCCTGCTCTGGACGTGTTCTTACTTTTTGACAGCGTACTTTTTGACGTACCCACTGGGTGCTAAGCGCAGCAATCGTGGCTGCGGAAGGAAAGAGCCGCGGTGGAGGACTGACCTCAGAGGAGACACGGCAAGAAAGCCGTAGAGACTGACAGGGCGCAGGAAGCGGGCAGGAAGGACACCAGGCGGGGCGGAGCGCGCGGCGCGACGGCGGCGGAAGCGGCACCGGGGCGGGGCGCCGAGAGCCTATTGGAAGGCTGCGGGGGCGGGGCCCGAGCTGACAGCCCCGGAGGAGAGAGGGCGGCTGCGCGGGCGTCCCCTTTGTGTCCCGCCCCTTCGCTCCCCGGCTCCCGTGCCAGGAGGGCGTGGCGGTGGACGTGGCGACGTCACGTGACGTCACAAGGGCGGGGCATCTCGGAGGGTTGGGCCGGCGCGCGGGCGCATTCGGCAGTCGCTGTGTGGGACGCTGGGTGTGCAGAAGCTTGGTCTTTGCTCCCGGTTCGCTGTGACAGCCGGTCCTTTCCCGGAGCCCGGGACGGATTGGGCGCGCGCTCATGTGTATGTGAGCGGGACTCAGGGCAGAGGTGTCCCCTCGCTGTCTTTTTTTCTGCCTTTTATCCAAAGAAGAGGGCAGTTCGCACGCTTGCCTTCCTGTCGCCCCATTGGGAGCGGGGTTGGTGTGCGCAGTGGTAGTCTTTTTCTTTTAAACTTGTGAGCGGTTTTTTTTTTTTGGGTTTTTTTTTTTTTTGGTTTTTTTTTTAAAGGCTCAGTGCCGTCTGGGCTGGTTTCCTTGGTCCCTGACTAACCGCTTTCTGCCCATTCTCTAGCTGCCCCCGCCCAAGGTCTCCCCTCTGCCCTCGCCCTCGCCCCCGACCCGGGAGGGTGGGAAGCTTTGTCCCGCTCCCTTCCCACCCGCGTCTCCGCAGCCGTAGCCGCACCTGCCTCAATATGAATGGGGTCAACGACCCACCTCTTTTTATAAAAGATATTAAGCCCGGACTGAAAAACTTAAATGTCGTCTTTATTGTCCTGGAGATAGGTAAGTGGGACCCGCA